TGACTCTTGAGATCTAAATTTAACTGTAACAATATCATTCTAGGTCTGGTTAGTGGTAGTGTGCCACAAGGGGCAACTTTGAATACTATAGTGCAGGACACCTAGTCCCTACAACTTTTATTAGTCTTGCAAATCCTTTAACTCCTCCAAAAATGGAAATATGTGACCAAAAAAAACAATGACATTTTCATTTTGTTGATATGTCATGTTGTTGTGGAGGAATTAAGCCCTAAAGTTGCACAAGTTTAACAAATTTGCTATGTTAATCCCCCAAAGTGACGTGTTACACGCAAATTTTTTTATATTAAAAATGAACGAATTGGAAGAATTGAAAATTTTGAAATCTGTATTGCGGATCTTTTATCACGTGATACTAATAAAGAGAATGCAACATGCTAAATCTATTTTTAAAACACGTGACTGTAAAAATTTATTGCATTTTTGATTGGGTTTTTTCCCAAATCTGTAGCTGTGGCGCAGAAAGTTGTAGGGACTAGGTGTCCTGCACCATATATTGCTTGTAGGGACGCCTCAAGTATTGTAGTTGTCAAATCATTCGTTTGTTTGAATTATTATCATTCTTTTATTATTTGAATTGTTATCATTTGAATTGTTATCATTTGTTTATTATTCGAATTGTGTATCATTCATTTATTATTCGAATTGTTATCTATCATTCGTTTATCATTCGAATTGACATCATTCGTTTATTATTATTATTCGAATTGACATCATTCGTTTATCATTCGAATTGACATCATTCGTTTATCATTCGAATTGACGTCATTTGTTTATCATTCGAATTGACATCATTCGTTTATTATTATCATTCGAATTGACATCATTCGTTTATTATTATTATTCGAATTGACATCATTGGTTTATCATTAATATTCGAATTGACATCATTCGTTTATCATTATTATTCGAATTGACATCATTCGTTTATTGTTATCATTCGAACTGACATCATTCGTTTATCATTCGAATTGTATCATTCGTTTTGCTTGAATTATTCATTTTATTTAGTTTATTCGTTTTATTATTCGAATTGTTGTCATTCGAACTATTTGTTTATTCGTTTTATTCATTTTATTCAAACTATTCGAATTATTCGAATAGAAACTTAATCAAGCATTTAGTTGTATCTAGTGATTTTAATTTAGTTTGCCAGATTTGGTGACTCCAATAACTCTGATCGCATGCTTGCAATATTTATTACAGTTTTACAACTTTAGGGTGTCAATGCTGAATTGTTGTAGTTTCAGGTAAAATTTAATTTTTTTTTAGGTAAATCTAAATATATATTTAATATTAATTAATATATTTTTTGTGATACATATTTGTGGCTGAAAAAAAAAATTTTTTTTTACAAATATACAATGGAAAACATTTTAAATGAAAATAAGCATCATAACAATACTTCTACTGATAAAAACGATGAATATTCAAAGAGAAGAGATGAAGAATATGGGGAATGTCCAACATGCAATAGATATAATACTGGTTATTCATGGTGTCAATCATGCAATCCAAAATTATTAACTGAAGGATGGTCTAGTGGCAATGAAACATTAGATGAGTTGATTAAAAGTACACAACTTAAAGCAACCAAATATGATAATTTTTATTATCTTCAATGGATTCCTTATAATGATTTAACAAATATTGAAAAGATAGGTGAAGGTGGTTTTGCAACTATATCCAAAGCTACTTGGTTAAATGGTGATAAAAGTATAAATTATGATAACAAAAGAATTAGTTATGATAGGACTGTGGCATTAAAAAAACTACATAATTCACAGAATATTTCTAATGAATTTCTTAATGAGGTAAATTATTTTATTTTTCTATTTATTTTTAGATTTTTTAGATATTATCAATTAGTATTGTTGTAATTAAATATTTATTTATTATTTAGTTCAAAAATTATATGAAGCTTCACAATAAAGAAAATATAATTCATATTTATGGATTAACACAAGATCCAATTACCAAAGAATATATATTTGTAATGACTTATATGGTAGATGGAAGTCTTCAAAATTATTTAACTAAAGATTTTAAAAATTTAAAATGGCATAACAAAATTATAATTCTTTATAATATTATTAAAGGTTTAAATGATATTCATGAAAAAGAAATTATTCATCATGATTTTCATAGTGGTAATATTCTTCAATATAGTGAAAATATGTGGTCATTTATTGCAGACTTAGGATTATCATGCCCAGCTAATCAAACATCATCAGACAAAAATGATATATGTGGAGTACTACCATATATTGCACCAGAAGTTTTAAAAAAGAAACCATATACAAAAGCATCAGATGTATACAGTTTTGGAGTTCTGATGTCTGTAGTATCAACTGGCCAACAACCATTTAATAATTTGGCACATGATGAATATCTTGCAATGGAAATATGTAAAGGTGCAAGACCTGGATTCTCAAACAATACACCAAAATTCTATATTGAACTAGCATTCAAATGCATGGATGCTAATCCAGATAAACGTCCAACTGCTGAAGAAATTTTTAATATTATTGATTTATGGTTTAGTTCATTTGAAAAATTTTATAAAATGGATGAAATAAAATTTGATCCTTCAACAATTACTGCAACAATTCATCCAAATGCTATATATACAAGCAGATTATTAAAATTTACAAACCTTCCCCAACCTGTGAATTCCAGTAAGGTGACAGTTATTGGTAATAATAATGGTAATTATTAACATTTAATCATTGATTGCTTTCGTTTTTTTAAAATCTATATTAATATTAATTTATTAATATCCACATTAAATATTTTTTTAGATTCTCAACAAATTGAATTAACTTAAGTAATAAAAATATAAAATCTTGTCATTGTTTATTTATTTCCAAACTATATATTCTACTACATGCACAATATTAATATTAATATAAATATGAATAAATATGGTCTGTTAGAAAATTAGACATTCTATTTGTATTCTATTTATTTTAATTCATCTGTTGATATGGACAAAAGAAAAAAAGGTTTTATATAATGTTCAAGATTTTAATCTATTTATTTAATCTGTCTCAACTGTAAAATTGTATTATTGATGAAGCTACAAATAGTCAATTATCAAATGTAAATTAATTGTGTCAATGTTGAAGAGCCAAAGCATGGAAATAAAAATTTTACTTCATAAATTAACCAAAATGATTAGAAAATAAGGGAGTATCAGTCGTAATCAATTTATCATAAAATCATGTTTGCCATCCAAAGGTTGTGTTATTATTATTACCATTTATTTATTTTTTCATCAAGTACATAACTGGTCATCTGATCAATCCGTGAATACTTTCTAGTACATTTCCATTTTACCAAAAAGAAATTTTACAGAATCATCCTGTAAAAGAGAATGCTTGTGTATCTTTTTTACATTTTCTGTAAAAATTCTTATAGTTATAGGAAATGTTGCAAGTATGCAAGCGGAATTACAATCTTTAATGACAATGAGTTGGATTCAGGAAAATTTCCAAATATTGCTGCGTGTTTATAAGTTTTACGCAAGTTACGTCAATTAATTTCCGAATGCACAAATCATTTTCTGCATTGGAAAATGAAAAGAAATAAAAGAAATCAAATAACATAGTACTTAGATTTCGGGTGGCCGGACGTTTTGTTAGGATTAAATTCAAAGGTTTGTTTTTTTTTGTTTTATCCACATTATACCGTTTATCCAAATGGAATGCTTTGATGGAAAATATCTAAATGTTCTATATCAAGGAAAGAAAAACGGCGGACAATCTTACAAATCTGCATTGTGCAAGACAAATATTGCCACCACCAATTTACAAAATGACATGTAAAAAGGACACATAAAAGCATTTTATTTAATTTTTCTCTTTTGAAATGAATAAACTTTTTTAGCAAAGATCTTTATTTTGACTTAAACGTTGTATATGTTGTTCATAAACAACACTCCAACATCCATATTCTGACCGGTGGTAATTATAGCTGGAAGGGCCTTCATCTTTGCAATTTACGTAATTCTTGTTCCACCATGCAACGAATTGTTCAGGAGTAGTGAGCCATTCTACCTTGAGATTCAATAATTACTTAGGGTCTTGAAAATAGTGTAATTTTTTGCACGAGAAACTTGACGTTAGAAGTGTTACATGTCGCAATCCAAAAAAAAAGAAACAAAGTGATCGCAAAGGCGGTTGCAACCAGGTATTGCAATCATCATCAAAAGTTGCAACCGGTATGTTAGAATGAAACATGTGCAATTAATTACAAAAAATCCCATTAAATCAGAATTGGTTGAAGCATTATAATACACTTATGGATGCTGTTTTTTAATTTACTAGATCTCTAGTCTCTTTTCATCACTCTCAAGAGAAAAGTTGTCCAAATCATCCTTTATAGAATATCGATTATATTAACTTCTATATAATAATTATCCATAATAAAATGTCCTAAAATTTATTTGCAGTATATCCCATATAAGAATTTGTAAAAAGAATCCTTATTAATATTAAAAAAGATATTGTTACTAGACAATAAACCAACAAAAGTAAGCACAAAAATTATCCAGGGTCCTAAAAATTTTATCATTATTATTTACAATATAAAGTAAATAAATGAACATATTTCACATATATATAGTATATTATCAATTTGTAGATATTTATGTATGTAAGAATTTTTGATTTGTTAGAAGAATAACAAAAAAATAAAAAAACTCTTACAAAAAATTTTTAATCTGCCACAGCAAACCAGATACTAAAACATTGTTATATTGTTGTCATTAGTAACATTTATCCTGTGGCTTTATGTGTGTGTAAAGAAGAAAATATAAAAGTAGATCTTTCTGCCTTTTTTTTTTGATAGTAATATAGTATTACCTATCGAAATTCAAACAAACCCCCTTCATAATCATCATTATCATCAGAGGAGAAAGGAAAAAAAATAAAGGTATATTAATCTTTTTTTAATAAAAGATAGATTTCATTATTACAATATTAAATAAATAGATCCCAATCTTGCGCTAAATATTTTGAGTCATCATATTCTTCTTCTATCTTTGGTTCTTGTTTTTCCTGTTTAAATTTTTTCGAATTTCCATCAGAAAATTCCTGTGAATTATTATTATTGTTAGCTAATATTGCTGAATATGGTCTTTTATTGACCATTGAAGCCTTGTTTTTATTTTGTCCTCTCATCCAATCCCATAATTCTATTTCATCTACAATATCGTAAACTACATCTTCTGCAACATATTCCATGTATCTTTCTGACATCGGTTTCCATTTGCATATTTCAATTTTTTTCTTTGATGATATTAATTTTTCTTTACCTTTACTACTACTGCGACTGTTGCTACTACTACTATTGTTACTACTACTACTATTACTATATAATTCAAGTCCGGGATTGGGAGGTGGTGGATATTTGAAATGAGGTCCAAAATTTAAAGTACATGTCCCACCTCTAAACATTGAAACTGCTGGGTAATACCCCAACGATCCGTCATCTTCAATCAAATCATCATCTGCCGTATATTTATCAATTATAGGAAAAAATGAAAATAAATTTTCAAATGCTATTCCTTGACATATTCCATTTTTATAGACTATTATCTTTGATCCTGGTAATGTTGGCAATTCTGGCTCTGGTGATAATTGTCTTTTCTTTTTTTCTTTTTCTTCTTCTGCGGCTTCTAGTTGTTGTCTTTGCCACCAAAATTCTTTTTTTTTTGGCTTTTCTGGTAATTCTAACAGTTTATTCATTCGACGAGTTGGCTTGAAATCTTTATATTCAAATATCGTTTCCCCCTTAAATAAAATAGGAATTCTTTGTCTTTTAGGTGCTTTATATTTATAACCTTTACTAACTTTTTTCAAAGGTGGTAATGATATATAAATACCAATAACATCACCTGTTTTAAAAGGTTCCCCAAATTTTTTTACGTGTGACATATGAACCTTCTGTCCTGTAAGATCTCTTATTCCATAACTATATCCATCAGATCCAACTGGAGAATTCCTATTGCCTACAAATAAATTTATATATTTTTTAATAACCTTAATAATCGTTATATGTTACCAAATAATTATTAATTATAACCATGATTTACAGTAGTTGTAATCTTTTAATTATTTCCTACCTTCTCTACGTGCCCACCCAACTCTCACGTGTGCACCATCTTTGCCATCAACTTTTCCTTCACCTCCACGATCTATAAAAACTTCGTAAAACCACTTTCCTTCTTTTACGGGACAGTTGGCTCTTGCCATTGAAAACCCGTGATCAGTTGTGGTAGTTAATTGATCACCACTAATCCATACTGAAAGACTTGCATCTTCTTTAGAAAGTCGCACTCCATATGGTCTCAATTCAGAGTTTCGATATTGTGTATAAGAAAATAATTTATCTGATTTACAAGGTAAATATTTAAACCC